TGTCTCAGTAGTCCCAATCTGGTGCTGAAGGTCTGACGAATTCCAAAAGATCAGCTAGTCTTCAGTCTACAGCAGCAAGACAAACTCACCAGTGAGAGAGAAGGCAAGCAGCAAGAAGCCTGGTGTTCTCCTCTGCCTTGGCCTTTTATATGGGCTGCCATCAGAAGGTAACACCCACATTTAGGGTGTCTTCTGGCTTCAGATGATCCAATCAAGAAGATCTCTTTCATTTCAGTTAATCCCAGATCCAGTCAAGTTGACACCCAGGATTAGCCATCATACCTTCCATCCCACCATTGCTGGGATTACAAGCCTGTGCCTCCACACCCAGCTTTTTTACTTGGATTCAAGGGGTCAAACTCAGTTTCTCATGCTCCTAAAGCTTTACCTCCTGAGCTATCTTCCCAGCCCCTAGTCTTCTCACTGAAGATCTTTAAAAATGCAAATACAGGGCTGGAGAGATGGCTCAGCAGTTAAGAGCACTGGCTGCTCTTACAGAGGACCTGGGTTTGGGTGTCAGCACCCACATGGTGACTAACAGCCATCCATAACTCAAGCTCCAGCAGATCTGATGCCCTCTTCTGCCTTCCATAGGCATTGCACAACATGGGTGTACTTACATACATGTAGGCATAACACTCATACATGTAAAAAATAAATAAATAAATAAATTTCTAATACAAATACCCTGGGCTCAACATTGTATGAATTAAAGCACAGAGACACTCTGGTGGCTTATTTCTACCTTCCTCTGCAGCACAACCCTTGTACTGACAGAAGCTTAACAACTGGGAAGCATGCATAGACATTCCTTTCTGTATTCAGTCACCCATCTGTTGGGCACCTACTGTATGCTATACACTGCTAAATGACATAGTCTGTGGCTAAAGGAGGCTCACAGTCTGATGAGAAAGACAGACATATTAACACAGTATGGAAGACAGCATTCAGAGACAGAGTCTACTGAGGTTAATTGTGAAGATATATAAAACCTAGGACACCTACAATCCTAGTACTTGGGAGGGAGAGGCTAGAGGACCAGGAGTTCAAGACTAACCTTTATTACAGAGGAGTCTGAGGTCACCCTGAGCTATATTGGACCCTGTCTTAAAAGAAAATAAACAGAACAATTGCTGAAGATGTCACCATGACTCACACTAGGATGTAAATTGTGATCAGAGTCAGCTTGTCTTGGAAAGTCTTGCCCTTGGGCCATACCGTAGGTATTAATCCCTTTGTAGATGGAATGAAAATGAAACAACCATCAGGCATATCCAGACTGTGGCCCATGGGGCCTAATACACCCCAGGATAGCCATCATTGCAGCCCAATACAAAACTGTAAGCTTACTCAAAACATTATGACTATTTTGTGACTCAGTTGCATAGTTTCCAAGTATGAACTTTGTAGATGACACCTTTCACAATGTCAAAGGTTGTACATGCCTCATAGTTATATGCTTTAGTGGGTTTGGGGAGGCTTTTTTTTTTTTTTTTTTTTTAAGACAAGATCTGACTTTGTAGCTTAGGCTGACCTCAAACAAACTCATGATTCTCTAGCCTCAGCCACCTCAGTGCTGGGATTATAGGTGAGTATATACTTTTTTTTTTTTTAATCTAAAGCTATGTTCTGTCTCTTGGAGGTAATTATCTTGATTTTGGTTACTTTCTTGATATCACATGAATGATTACTTTTCTTAACTTTGGAATTTTCTTTCTATGATTAAGATGATTAAGGGTGCAGATTCTGAGGGTTCGAGAGATGGCTCAGCAGTTAAAAGCACTGGCTGCTCTTGCAGAGGACCCAGGTTCAATTCCTAGCACTCATATGGCAGCTAACAACCATCTGTAACTCCAGTTCCAGGGGATATGATGCCCATTCTGACCTCCTCAGGGGTATTGTGTGACATAGGTGCACTTACATACAGGTAGGCAATACACTCATACACATAAAATAAAAATAATAAATAAAATATTTTTAAGAAGAGAGTGCAGATTTTGGAGCTAGGCCACCTAAATTCATCTTCTGGCTCAGTTACAGATTATTTATGCTTTTCCTGTGTTGGGTTCCCCAGGTGCAAGAGAGAATAATTAAGGTTTCTATTCCATACAATACTGGAGGTCTTCCTTGAGTTGGCCATGTATAGGATTGAGGACAAGAACAATAGTGAGTGTTCAGTAAAAATTGGCTATTGCCAGTCTGCTCACCTCGGAGCACCTTGCTGGGACTGTGTGAATTACAGTATAGAAATATTGTAACACCCCTGAAGGCAATCAGAATCAAGAGTTTGGCTGAAATAATCACCGGCGGTCACCTATGTGCCAGTGGGTCCTGCACCAGCCACTGGAAAGACAAAGTTAAGTACAGTATGGCCCTGCCTTCAGCCAACCTATACCTACTGAGAAAATGAGACATTTGTACCTTAGCACTGTCAGTTGGCAGTTGCTGTATTATGTCAGTTGCCATATTATGAAACCACCTTCCCGGTGTCTTACCTGGCTCAGGTGTCATCATTTCTATTTCCTATGTGATAACAAAATGCCTGTCAGTTTAGTTACTAAAGCGCTGGTGGACACCTTAGCAGATGGGGTAATGGTTAGATTAAGTTAACCTAGAGGGAAAACCTTGTCCTAGTAGGCCTTATTTTCCTTCAGAAGTGATGTATTGTAACAAGCTCCCTGTTTATGTGCCCCGTGTGTTAGGTTTGGAGGAGACCAGCCCGTCTACATCAACATCATTAGAGACCCCGTCAGTCGGTTTTTATCTAACTACTTCTTCCGTCGCTTTGGAGACTGGCGAGGGGAACAGAATCACATGATCCGCACCCCCAGCATGAGGCAGGAGGAGCGCTACCTGGTAAGTTCTGTTGCATTTCAGAGGTGGCTCTCTGCTGCCCAGGAATGGTGACTCCAGGTTGGACACTCCCCTACTGTGGAAGGTTTCTTGGGTGAGAGCTTGTTCCGATGACCCAGAACACCTTCTCATCTGATTCCAGAGTTGCTTTGTTCCGTCTGTTTTGATTGCTAAGGTTTAGGTCATTCCTTCAGCGTCCTGGTCAGCCACTCCCATCATGAAGAACAGATGTGTTTGGAGCTCCCTCTCAAAGGGTTGTAAAGTGTGTTCTTATTTCCCATCCTATTTAGTTCCCATGGCAACCTCATGAGGGAGTGGGATTTCACATGAGGTCCTTGAGAGTCCCAAAAGACCAGAACATGCAAAAGTCCTGTTACCCTAAGGAGGAACTTCACATTTGCTTGTGTGATTGCCATCTGAATGTTTTCTACTTCTCTCTTTCATATCCAGCATTCCCCCCATGCTGGCTGGGATTACTTGTGTTCTGAACCTTGTTTGCTTTTCTGAACCTCCATAAATGTTGTTATTGTTGACCTCAGTTATTGCTAACCAAGCACAGGAATTATTCACAAAAATGGAAGGCAGAGCTATGTATGCCCTTTTTCCAGCACCAGAATGAAAGGCACATGTCTAATCATTTTGTGACCTGTGGCAACAAAGCTTACTGAGTGTCTGAGAGCCCCAGGCTTAGGAGGTAGAAACATGGCTTCTGTATGTGAGAAAGCCTGGTAGTCTTCCTAGGCCATCCTGAACTGTTGGGCATGGGCAGGACAGGAAGTGCTGAGGGATCTTCTATATAGACCTGCTCCTGCTACTGGAGTGTACAAAGCACCTGCTGGTCCTCAGCCTTGTTATCAAGAGGAGTGGTAGCCATAGTGCCAACACAATGCCCAGACCTCATTTGATTCTTAAAAAGCATAATAAAAGTAGATGTTTTGGGCTGAGACTATTTTTGGAGGACACCATGGTGTCACTTTCCTGTCTTAAGATCTGTGATTAGATATACAGAGGAAAAGTTAAGCATCTCATCCAATCCTGTGCATCCACATGGTAGATGATCCAAGGCAATGCTCAATGTTCTTCACTCCTCGTCAGTATAAGCTGAGCATCCCTAATCAGAAAATCTGATACACCCCCAAACTGGACACTTGCAAGCACTAACATATCACACCCAACCTCATGTGACAGGTCACAGTTAAAATGCCTGCTCACTAAAAACACTGTATAAAATGACCTTCAGGCTGTGTCTATATGGAACATGCACTAATTTTATGTTTATCTTGGGACCCTGTTCTAGTTTGCTTCTCTATTGCTGTGATATACACCATTACCAAATGCAATTTGGGAAGAAAAGGTTTTATTTCTATTTACAGATTACACAGGCCACCCATCAAGGGAGGCCAGGGAAGGAGCTCAAGGTAGGAACTGAAGCAGAGGCCAGGGAGGAGAGCTGCTTACTAGCTTGCTCCCTCTGGTCACTCAGTTACGTTTCTTATATAGCCCAGGCCTGCCTGGCTAGGGATGGCACCACCTACAGTGGGTTGGGCCTTCTCACATCAATCATCCATCAAGACAGTGTCCCACACACATGCCCACAGGCCAGTCTGATGGAGAAAGTTCCTCAACTGAGGATCCCACTTCCCAGGTGGCTCTAGATCCTGATAAATTGACAATAAAAATTGACCAATATAGATCCATCTCCATGACCTCTCACAATAACATTCCCAACCCCCAAAACATATTAAATCTTAAACATGTCTAAGCATTTTAGTATTCCTTCCTCTACCTAAAGCTTCAATGAATTGTGTATCTGTGTCTGTGTGTCTGTGTGTCTTTAAATCACCAGTTAGGAGTGTGATATTGATATTTTTTTTATCCCGTGGCATGTATGTATTGAAAACATAGAATCACTTACTAGAACAATAATGCCTTCTCAGATTACCTTTATTGTCTGTATTGACTCTTAAAACATGTTCGTGTTTTTTTAAAAATAGAGTACATTCCATTTAATTAAAATAATATTTTGAAGTTCGAGCTCAATCTTGATACTAAGAACGTTAGAACCACTTGGTAGCAGAAAGCATTACCTAAGAGAAGTCAAAGATATGGAAATGAGTCTTGTACGTCCTGTCTTTCAACTGGTCTGTGGGAGTTGAAAGGAATCCTCTGGGTTCTACTCTGTCAGGCTTTTTTTTCTGTTAAAAATGGAGGTTTTTATTGGTTTTGGTCCACAAGGGTTTTTTTTTCACATATCTTCTGGGTGCAGGGAGTCCCTGGGAAGGTCACGTGCAGCACTTGTGGGATAGGACAGACCCAGGACAGTTTCGGGGCAAACAGAAGTGCTTGTGAGGTTCCAAACCCAGAGGGACCATCTAGGCCTTTATTTCCCCAGGTCTGTGAATCTTAGGGAAACCAACGCAGTCCCCTCAAGTGCCTGAATACTCGAAGGCCTTGGGTGCAGCTTGCAGCACTCCGCCCTCTACTCCTTTCTCTGGGGATTAAAACAAAAAAAAACACATTTTTCTTTCCTTGAAACTGCCTGAAGTTTCTGCAAGTTCACAAATCACAAATTAGTGCAGAAGAGGTGAAGAAACTAGAGACTATAAGGGCCAGCCTCACCTTCCAAAACACACAAAGCTTCCCCATCTGCAGCCCGATGACGCACCGGCCGGCCTTCAGGGTGGCATTGTCAAAGTCCCTCTACTGCTTCTCCGAGTATTTGACCCTGATGTCCACCCTGCTCTGCAGACCCTTGGTCTTGGCCTTCCCTGCCAGTGACAGGAGAGACACCTACCTGCACCTGCATCAGGTTCCCACTCTCAAACAGGTTGTTGGCCTCAAACAGATCCACAGGGCTCATGCCATAGCTCACCATGGCCTTGATGATGTTGGACAGGTTTTCTAGCTGGTCCCAGTTCTGCTGGGACTGGTTGATCTTGGGGACAGAGCCCGGTTGCAGATGTTCATGAATGTGCACAAGATAACCCCGTCTTTCAGACCCTTCTGGGAGTCAGGCCGGATGGAGAGGCCCATCAGCCCCTCAGTCCAGCTGCACTTCCTTCTGGAGATCACATTTAGACAGGAGCCCATTCTTCACCTCTGCGAGAGCCCATAGGATGGGCCTTTGTTAAATTGGGTGGAGCTCATGGAGTGGAACCCATAGGCAGGACAGGACGGGGACCATAGAGGCGAGCGGGCCTGTGGGGGGACCTCTGTCAGGCTTTTGCGTCATTCTGTAAAGCAGTCCATGGATCATAACTTCTCTGCCTTTACATTAGGCATAAACTATAGTCATAAAAAGGAGAAATTGTAAGCTAGCAGACAAAAGGAGTCATGGTTAGTGCACGTTTATTTTTTTTCTTTTTGCTTTTTTTTGGTTTGTTTGTTTTTCATTGCTAAGGATCAAATCCAGAGCTTCACACATGGTAGACAAGTGCCCCATCATGAAACGACATCCCCAGCCCTAGATTATTGTGTAAAAGCTCATGAAGTATTGAAAGTCTAAGGAAGCTCTGATTATTACCTGGTTGAATTCTGTGGACATTCCCTGCTGGAATTTACCCTCAGCAACTTGAAGGGGCCCCTTTCCAAGGAAGAACACTGTGCCCTAGACATCTCTGTCTCAGCTGAGCTCACAAGATTGCTTCTTGGCCACATTCCTTCAGGGAAGCACCAGGCTCCCAAATGCAGCAGAAGAAAAACTGGGGGGCTGGAGTGGAGAAGAGGGCCAAGTGATCCCACCTGCCTTGGTCTGACCCTGTTAGAAGGCTGTTTTGTTGTTCAGAGACTAGTTTGTTTATTTGGAAGATGGCCTGTTGCCATTTTCTTTTTTAATAACCAAAACATTTTATTCCATCTCCTTGGTTCCATGAAATAAAATTGTACCAGTCAGACCCATCTTCAATTTGGCAAGCCTGGATGGTCAGTTGTTTGACTCAAAGGAGGGTGCTGTTTGTATCTCTGTGAGACATAGGCAGCTGTGGGAAGACACTGTTTCCTCAGCAAAGCTGAGAGGGTGACACCTGGACTGGACTGTGCAGGTTGCCCCCTTGGGGACTGTGCATCAGGCCACTCCCTGCATACCACATGCCCACAAACTTGGTACTGGTCCTGAATCGGGGTGCTATTCCAGATCTCAGCACCCTGAAGCCTCTTTCTTTATCTAGTTGCCAAAAATCTCAGTGTGCACTTGGCCCAAAGCCTTGTGGAGCTGCTTAGCATACAGCTGAACAGGCCTCCAGCCAGAACAACTGGAGAGTGATGGTGCCTTGTGGTGCTGGGTGGTTTAGAAGAAGATGGAAAGGATTCTGGGCTTTGCATGCCTCCTGGAAATAATAAGGAAACTTCCTCTTCACAGGTGTGGGATTGGAGGTACAGGTCGGGAACCCACGAATTAGAAGCCAAGCCCCCTACCCACCACATTCTGTGCTAGGCACCCCTCAGACCTTAGGATTCACTGTCTGAATGATGAAGGGAAGAAGGACCTGGCCAAGTGCCAGGCCTTCTGAGCAGAACCATTTCATGAACAGCATCTGCATGTCTTTTTAGAGACATCACTGTTAAAACCATTTGTTTGAAATGCAACTATAGCGGAGTTGGCAGAGTGCTTGGCTAATACACATGAAGCCCTGGATTCAAACCCCAGCACCACATAAACTGGGTACCATGGCATGTGCCTGTAATCTCAGCGGATGGCAGGTATCTGCATGTCTTTTTAGAGACATCACTGTTAAAACCATTTGTTTGAAATGCAGCTATAGCTGAGTTGGCAGAGTGCTTGGCTAATACACATGAAGCCCTGGATTCAAACTCCAGCACCACATAAACTGGGTACTATGGCATGTGCCTATAATCTCAGCGGATGGCAGGTGGAGGTGAGAGGTTCAAGGTCATTCTCAGCTATATGAGGAATTCGAAGCCAGCCTGGGGTACACAAGACCTTGTCTTTAAAATAAGCATCTTCTCATTGTTCTCCATATTTTCTGGAAACAGCTAGGTTTTGT